TTTGTTTTCGTTTTTCGTTTTTATTCTTTGTTTTCGTTTTTTGTTTCCATTGTTTGTTGTCGTTTTTCGTTTCCATTCTTTGTTTTTGTTTTTCGTTTCTGTTCTTTGTTTCTATGAGTATGAAGTTTCTGTTCTTTGTGTGTGGTGAAGATGTAGTAGTTAGGATCTACTCGTGATGATATGTTTTATATACGGTGCTGAGGCTGGGAGTTACTGACCCATAGCAGTGCTGTCAATTGACCCAGACATGGAGGGTTTGAGTGTTCTCGCCGCCTGTCTATTTTTCTTTTTCCAGATTGGAGTATGACAAAGTTTTAGCGTATACCATTCTACTTTATGCTTTATTCGGGAGAGCCAGTTCTCGTTACACTTACTTTAGTTTTTACTCGCCGCCGTCTCTCGTAGATGTGACGGAAGCCGATGTAGCGGCGTTTTATCTATCACTTGTCGGCGTAGTTTTGTTTATTGGGCGCTTACCGGAGTGGGACCGTTGTGCTGCTGAGATGTGTGATCCTGGACAACATGACTACCATCTCGGACAACATAATGGGCACGCCCTGGATCCCATAAATGACTCCCCATGAGTGATCTCTAGGTGACTTGATCTGAAATTTTTGCAGCGCTTGATGTAAAATGAGACTAGTCGATACCTTGAGAACCCACCAACTTGAAAAATCCATGCGCTTTACAACAACCCACCAGGCTACGGGAATGCTTCTTTCTCATTCTGTGCGTTTCGCTTCTCATGAATCTTATGACGATCAAATGAATTCCCGCTATGTCAATTTCTGACTTAGTACTCCACACGCCACCCCTGCTAGAACCAAGAACGATAGTACGTTTGTAGCCCCCTGATATGGTTACTGGTGATGACAAAAAACACGAATGTGGTAACTGATACGAAAGCCGATGCGGTAGTAGGCAGCTCTCGGCGAGATTCATGAGGGGCCCAAGGAAAGTGAAAAACGAAAGGAAGACGGCGAAGCCAGCAACGAGAAAAGAAGAAAAAGAAGCAGAGAAAAATGCGTTCGAAAATCATAGTCATAGCCTGGGAATGTAGTGTGGAAGATGTGTGTGGTGAAGATGTAGTAGTTAGGATCTACTCGTGATGATATGTCTGTTTCTATTGCGGAATACTATTAAATAATGGGTTTTCTCGCCTTTCGCTAGTCATTGTAGAGATTGTTTGTTTTGGTTTTTCGTTTTCATTCTTTGTTTTTATTCTTTGTTTTGGTTTTTCGTTTTCATTCTTTGTTTTCGTTTTTCGTTTTCATTCTTTGTTTTTATTC